CCGACTTGTCTGGCTGATGCTCTGGGGGGGCCTGTGCTCAGGGGAGGCTGCAGCACCGCTCAACGATGTGCTGTTTAACCGAACCTGCAGGGTGGGCCCTTTCCCAAATCCGTGCTTCGGTGCGGATCGTAAGCGCGCCTCGTCTCCGTCGTCGTCGTCGTCGGCGTCGTCGTGGTCGTGGTGCGTGTTGCTCTGCTCGGGATTCTGTTTCCCTTATGCAGTGACCACCACCACCACCCACCTATTTCGTCGCCGTCGTCGTCGACGTCGTCGTTGTCATCGTCGTCGTCTTCCCTCCTCCCTCCTCGTCGTCGTCGGCGTCGCCTCGTCGCCGTCCTCCCTCCTCCCTCGTCGTTGTCGTCGTTGTCGTCGTTGTCGCCGTTGTCGCCGTCGTCGTCCTCCCTCCTCCCTCGTCGTCGTCTTCGTTGGCGACGTCGTCGTCGTCTTCGTCGTCGTCGTCGGCGTCAGCATCGTCGTCGGCTTCGTCGTCGTCGACGTCGGCGTCGTCGTCGTCGCCGCCGTCGTCGTCGTCGGCCTTCTGCTTCTCCGGCCTTCTCGGGGCGCTCTTGAGGCGCCCCCGAGGGCTCCAAGACGACCCCGGAGCGATATCTGCGCTCGGTCCCGGAGCTCTCGGCCGCAGCACGTAGATCCCGGAGCTCTTTCCCCCCCCCCCTCTGGAGGAACCCCGAGGGCTCCAAGACGTCCCCGGTCGCGCCAAACTAGCTGGCCGCTGCGCGCGCGAGCATGCGCGGTCTAGCGCGGCCGCAGAGATGCACCAGCCAACACCCAGCATTCATCGCAATCGTTCCTGCATGGATTTTGCAAACCAAGTTGCGGGTGGGTGGGTGGGATGATTGCGCGAGCAGTGGAGTTGACAACTTCAAGCTCGGCAAGCGAATTGCAAGAATGGACTCTACCCCTCCCCCCGGAATTAACGGGCCACCTTGTCGCATTGCAATTTCTATATGATTTTGCCCCATCGTCCATCCTACTTGTGAACTCATACTATCCCAGCCAAACCGGCATCGCCCCCCCCGCCATCCTCTACAAAAAACTATGCGCGCACACGCGTTCATCAAAAATCACAAGTTCCCACGAATCCCTTGCAAAAAAACGGGACGAAGTGCACACGCGCGCGTCGTCGCGCGCGCATGCCGAAATCCGTCGAAAACCTTCGATTCGAAAAATTGTCAAAATCGAGTTTCCAAAAAAAACATACAAATGAACAGGGTTTCGCAACACTGACTTGCTTTAAAAATTTGCGCGCGCTCTTGCAAAATCATCAAAAAAATTGTTCAAGGTTTTCAAGACATACTACCAAACGAGCTTCGCACGCGCGCATGTCGAAATCTTTCGAACGCCCTTGCGCGCGTGCCATCGCGAGAATCCTCTGCAAAAAACTAGACGAAGTGTGCACGCGCGCGTCGTCGCGCGCGCATGCCGAAATCCTTCAAAAACCTTCGGTTCTGGAAGTATTTCAACATCGAGTGTCCAAAAAAAACACAAAACACATGGTTTCGCAACACGGCTTTTCAACAAAAGCGTGCGCGCGCGCTCTTGCGTCGTCGTCGTCGTCGCCGTCCTCCCTCCTCCCTCGTCGTCGTCGTCGTCGTCGTCGCCGTCCTCGTCCTCTGTTTTTCCTCGTCGTCATCGTCGTCTTGGCGTCGTGGTCGTTTCCGTCGTCGTTGTCGCCGTGATCGTCCTCCCTCGTCGTCTTCATCGGCGTTTCCTCGTTGTCCCTAGTATTTCGTCGCCATCGTCGTCGTCGTCGTTTTCCCTCCTCCCTCGTCGTTGTCGTCGTCGGCGTCGCCGTCCTCCCTCCTTCTTCGTCATTCGCGTCGTCGCCGTCCTCCCTCCTCCCTCGTCGTTGTCGTCGTTGCCGCCGTCGTCGTCCTCCCTCCTCCCTCGTCGTCGTCGTCTTCGTTGGCGACGTCGTCATCGTCATCGTCGTCTTCGTCGTCGTCGGCGTCGTCGTCGGCGTCGTCGTCGTCGTTGTCATCGTCGTCGTTGTCGGCGTCGGCGTCGTCGTCGGTGTTGTCGTCGTCGTCGTTGTCGGCGTCGTCGAAGTCGTTGGAGACGCCGTCGGTGTCGTCGTAGTCGTTGTCGGCGTCGTCGTCGTCGTTGTCGCTGTCGTCGTCGGCGTCGGTGTCGCTGCCAAGTGCCATTTGGCACCCACCGCCACGGTCTTAAGAGGTTTTGCAAACCAAGTTGAAGGTGGGTGGGTGGATGTTTGCGCGAGCAGTGGAATGGACGACTCAGTGAGAACAGAAATCACTTGCAGCAAGTAGATTCCCCCACACGTATTGCACAGCACAGATCGCACAATCCATGTTGCAGCTGCTAATTTCCGCCAGGCCAATTGCACCGCGCAGGTTGCACCACATACATTGCACCACACAGGTTGCGCACCGCATAAACTCCACACCATCGTTTGCACAACATATATTGCGCAACATGGATTGCACAACCCATATTGCACGACCACCACATACACTGCACCACCTAGGTTGCACGATATGCGCTGCACCACATAGGGTGCGCATCACATAGATTGCACGACACAATTTGAACCAACGATACTGCTCATCACAGATTGCACAACATGGTTTGAGCCATCTATTATCCAAGAAAATGATATACCACCCCCGCCCCCCAGAATTATCGGTTCGCCATTTTGTGTTGCATTGTACATATGATTGTGCCCCACCTCTCGTTCTAAAGATGAACTCATACCATCCCAGCCAAGCCGGTATCGACTGGCCCCGTCCATTGCCAAAAAAAACCGTCGCGCAAACTCGCTCACCACAAATCAGGACTTGTCCAGATCCCTGGCGAAAAGCAGGACGAAAACGAAAAGAGCACGTGCGTGTTGACGCGCGCGCATCCCGAAATCTGTCAAAAAAACCGTGGGTTTCGCACGGACGTCAAAACCGAGGGTCCCGAAGCCCCCAAAAAACATGGTTTTGCAACTGGACGTTTCAGCACAATTTGCGCGCGGGCTTTTGCGGATTCTACGGGAAACCATTCGTGTTTCAGCATGTTGATCAAAGGCGACCAAACGGGTCACTCGCGCGCGCATGTCGCAATCACTCGAGCGCCCTTGCGCGCGTGCTGGGGACACGATCCGTGTCAAAAATGCCATGCGGGCCACCAGCGCCCGTCGGCCGCGCGCGCACGTCGAAATTCATTCAAAACTTTCATCACCGACGCGTGGACACCATCATCACCACCAGCGTGATCAGCATCGGCGTCGTCATTGGCCATGCCGTCGTCATCCTCATCGTCTTCACTAGCATCCCTACTGTCATCGTTGTGTCTGCCCTTGTCGACGTCGCCATGGTACCGCGCCCGCCCGATCCACCGCCTCGCACCGAAGTGCCCGCGCGCCAGCGCGGCCTGCAAGACGCGCTGAGAAATCCCCAGCGGTCAGCACCACCGCGGCCGCTTCGATCACGCCAGACTAGCTGGCCGCTCTGCGCTCGAGCCTGCGCGCGCTAGCGCGGATGCAGCGATGCGCCAGCCAACGCCAAGCAGCCATCGCAATCGCCGTCGCTTGGGCCTTGCACGTCAAGTTGCAGGTGAGTGGGTGGGATGATTGCGCGAGCAGTGGAGCTCACAACTTCACATTCGGCAGGGCGATCTGCACCACATTGAGTGTACCACATAGGCTGCTCCACAAACATTGCACAACATGGATTGTACAGCATCGATTGCATAACATGAAAATGCCCAACACGCATTGCACCGCAGAAACTGCACCACATAGCTTGTTCCGTGCAGCTTGCACCACCTACACTGCTGGAAACACCACACCTGTCTGGGGCCTACGCTGGCCAACAAACTTGCAACCGTTTCACGGGTAGAGGGCGGGACGTTTTCAAAACATGATGATCGTCTCCGCGCCGCGCATATTCGTCTTATAAGCTTGCAAACGGCTTCACGGGTGTAGAGCGGGTCGTTCTCAAAGTGTGGCTCTTGCCCTCGCGCCGTGCGCACTCCGCCGAAAGTTCGCGATAGCACGGATATAAAAAAACAAATTAGCGCGCCGCGCACATTCGTCATAAGAGTCTGCAGCCGCTTCAAGGATGGAGGGCGGCTGCTCTTCAAAGTGTGGCTATCGCCTGGGCGCCGCGCACATTCATTCGTCTTGAAAGTTCGGAGCTGCTTCAAGGATTCGTGCGGTCGACGTCCCGGGAAGGGCATTATGGCACGATTTAGGGTTGCTATGGCCCAACAGTCATGCTGAATCGCGGTGTCGGAATCTCAGGAAAGACGCAACAGCCACGTTAATCTCGCGGCGCTGAAGACCCAAGAATACTGCATGGGCAGAATTGAAGATTCTCAGACGGTTGTCTTCCCATGTGGCACTTCTCGTAATGAAAACACATGCTTGTAAAGCATTATGGAAAGGTAACTTGGGGGAGGGTTTAGAGCAAAATCGTTGATGCGTCTTGGGTTTACACAGGTCCTTCTCCTCCTCCTCCTCCTCCTCCACCTCCCTCCTCATCATCATTATCATCCTCATCATCATCATCATCATCATCACCATCATCGTCGTCATCATAATCATCATCATCATCAGCAGCAGCATCAGCATCATAATCATCATCATCAGCAGCAGCATCAGCATCAGCATCAGCATAAGCATCAGCATCAGCATCAGCATCATCATCATCAGCATCAGCATCAGCATCAGCATCATCATCATCATCATCATCATCATCATCATCATCATCATCATCATCATCATCATCATCATCATCATCCGCCTCCGCCTCCGCCTCCACCTCCTCCTCCGCCTCCTCCTCCTCCTCCTCCTCCTCCTCCTCCTGATCCTCCTCATCCTCCTCCTCGTCCCTCCCTCCCTCCCTCCCTCCCTCTCCCCCTCTCTCCCTCGCTGCCTCCCTCTGGACCGCCCTGATGGCCTCCATCTCCTTTGCTGTTCCTTCAAGTGGGCTGCCCAGACGCTCCCCCGATGCCCATCCCGGGGGCGTCGTCGCCAAGGAGGTGCAGAGAGGCGGCCCAGCGCAGCGGCATGGGCCCGCACGGCGCTACAATTCTGGCACGACGGGGATGGCGGAGTCCCGCGGCACTTCGGCATCACCCGACCGTATGGTGGCACACGAGGTCGCTCACAAAAGGAAGCCATGCAAGCGGCCCGCCGTAACACTTGAGCCCAGGGGGAGGCAGGAGAGGAAGGGCGTCGAGAAACAAAACAAAACAGAAACAGAATGTTGGGCGGAATGGGCTCCAAACAGTCTCTAGCAACGTCTGCTGTGCAATGTATATGGTGCGATATTCCCCAATCAGAGCTTGCATCTGTAGGGGTCCTAGCGGATTCACATGGTTAAGTAAGCTTTGCCGCCGATTTCCGCGGCCCGCCCGGGTGCCCAATTGCCCGGGTGCCCAGGTGCCCAGGTGCCGTGGTGCCCAGGTGCCGTGGTGCCCAGGTGCCCAGGTGCCCGGGTGACCCAGTGCCTGGGTGCCCGGGTGCCCGGGTGCCTTATAGCCCTATTGCCCTATAGCCCTAGAGCCCTATAGCTCTATAGCCCTAGAGCCCTACAGCCCTATAGCCCTAGAGCCCATATAGCCCTATAACCATATAACTCTATAACCCAATAACCCTGAAGCGCTATAGCCCAATAGCCCTGTAGCCCTATAGCCTGATTGCCTTATAGCCCAATAGCCCTGTAACCCAATAGCCCTGTAGCCCTATAGCCCCATAGCCCTATAGACTCATAGCCCTATAGCCCTATAGCCCCATAGCCCCATAGTCCCAGAGCCCCAGAGCCCCATAGCACTATAGCCCTACAGCCCTACAGCCCTATAGCCCTATGGCCCTATAGCCCTATAGCCCTATAGACCTGTAGACCTGTGGCTCTATGGCCCTATAACCCTATAGTTCCATAGCCCTATAGCCCCATAGCCCCATCGCCCTATAGCCCAATAGCCCCATGGCCCTAGCCCTAAAATGACTTCGATTGGGATTCTTATCTGGTCTCATATATTATGTAATCTACGTGGTGCAATCTAGGTGGTGCTATCTACGTGGTACAATAAATATCGCAATTACAGATTGTGCAAGTCGATGTGGTGCAATATATGTAATGCGAAATGCGGTGTGCAGTGTATGCGGAACAACCTTGGTGGCGCAATGTATGTGTCTCAATCTACGTTCTGTAATCTATGCGGTGCAATGCATGTCGTGCAAACTATGTGGCGCGATGTAGGTTTGCAGTACCTGTTGTACAATATAGGTTGTGTAGCATAGGTCTTGTGCTTCCGACGGAGCGTCCCCGTCCCCCCCCCCAGCACCCCCCTCAACGCGCCTCCAAAATCCCCGTCCCCCCCTCTCGCCTGGCCCGGAACTCGAGCTTCAAAACTGCCACCCCCGACTCGGGAGCGGCCAAGAGGGGGGGGTCCAAGAGCGGGGGGTGCAAATCATGACCGGCGGCATGTGCGCGGCCCAGCGGGGGGGCCAGGGACGTAATGAAGTGAGAAGAGGCGCCATGAAATCTGGGGAGATATCATGGCCCACGCCATGATATCCACCCCCCCCTAGTCATCACCCCCCTCTTTTCCGCCCCCGACCGACGGCACGCGCCCCACCCACCCCCCTCCACCCCGGAAACACCCGGCATGTGCTGCGCCGCGCCCCGGAGGGAGCCGCTGACAGCGTCAGCGGAGAAGCCTGCACGGCGCCGGCCTGGGCGCGGCACCTCGCGCTGCCGTGGGCGAGAACCTGCACTGCCGCAGGGTAGCAGCAGTGCAGGAGGAGAAGGAGGAGGAGGAGGAGGAGGGAGGAGGAGGAGGAGGTGGAAGGAGGGGGGGGGGAGGAGTGGGGAGGAGTCGGAGGGGGGAGGAGGAGGAGGAGGAGGAGGGGAGGAGGAGGAGGAGGAGGAGGAGGAGGAGAAGAGGAGGAGAAGAGGAGGAGGAGGGCGTGAGAGGCCATGCTCGGCAAATCTTGAGAGAAGGCTTTGCTCTCGGAGGCGGCCAGGGGGTCTGGACGGGACGGGCCCCGTCAAACAAATCAGAGCGCGGGGACAAGAGCAAATCCGCCCAAAACTGGTCCTCGGACCCCCTCTGGTGCAGGTTTTCACCCCAGATCCGTTTCGACAGTCCCAGGGCCAAAAACCGACCCTGCAGGCCAAAACCTACAAAAAACCTTCCCGAACCCAGCAGCCCGAACCTCGCTCCCCCTTCCTGCGCGCCGGGACCAGTGCTGGGCCACCGCAGACCCCCAGCCGG